TTTTGACATGGAATTTCGTTTTAGTTTGAGGTTACGTGATGGTGGGTTGTTTGTTAGTCCCTGGCTATCGGAAGACGAAGAGAGTTTTTTTTATATAAAAAATTATTACTGATATAAACATAAATATCTAGCTAAATATATTCTCTTTTTTTAACGGTAAAGCTTCTCAAGAAAACTTACATTATGCAATATCTTCAACACACTCATTTGGAATTACTGTTGTCCTGTTTCTCTCTAAAGAAATCATTTTAAGATACATCTATCTCTCCCATATTTGCAACCCCTTTTAATACTTACCGTACAACCCCACCCCCACCCACCCACACCACCCATAACCACAGAACCCGCCCCGAATCACCGAACAAGACATACCACAGCGGCTCAAACCACATACCACAGTACCAAATCACACTCACATTAACTTCTCCTTGGCGTCCTCGAAGCTCTCGGACACGTAGTACACCGGCTGGTACTCGGTGATCGGGTACTTCTGCGTGCATGTCTTGGAGGGCTCGAACGGCCTCAGCTCGGGCTTGTCGGAGATGCAGTACTCCAGCTCGCCGAAGGAGGAGAGCAGGCCGGCGCCGTAGGCTTTGATTTCCCCGTTTTGGCGACACAGACCGAACTCCACCGTGAACCAGTAGCACTGCGGGAGGAAGGGGGGCAGTGAAGAAGGGATGAGCGGGTTTTATCATTTTCACCTATTATGATGACAATAATGATGATAATGATAATAATAATGATAATAATAATAATGATGATAATGATAATAATGATGATACTGACAATAATGATGATAGTGATAACGATAATGATAATGATGATAATAACAATTCTCATTGTTATTATCACCATCCTTCTTTCCCGCACCCTCATTAATAACGCCACTATCATGAAATACCTGGACATAGTATTTATTCCAGAAACGCGTTCTCTATTTTTTCAAGAAAAAGACAAAGCCATAATATCAAGAAGGTATTTTCAAGTCATATCAAACGACGGCCGAGCGAAGATAATTCCGACAGTCAACCCAATAATATCTATCTTCTATCTATCCCTAACGACCCATCCACATGACACAACAGCCAAGAGGAACTCACGGTGGCGAGCTTCTCGATGAACTCGTCGGGGGCCCCGAGCGAGGCTAGGCCGATCTCCTGGGAGAACTGCGCGAAGGCGGGGTCGGCGAAGAGCGGGGCGTGGCCTAGCAGCTCGTGGCAGATGTCGGGCTCGGGCGTGTACAGAGGGCGGCTGGGGTGGCGGATGTACTGCGTGGAGTGGAAGACCCGGAAGGCGAGGCCGGCCAGGAAGTCACGTGAGGAGAGGAGGCCGGCGACGGGGCGGAGGGTGAAGCCCGTGCAGTCTGGAGGGTGGGGGAGGGGGGGGGGGAGAATGGGGTTAGTTGAATTGGACAGTGGATGATGATGGTACTGATGGACGAGGTATATTGGTGATGATTTTTATGATAACGATGGGTCATAAGGGAAAATAAACACATCTCACACTCGTGATCCTCACCCCCTGACTTTCACTCTAGTGTCCCTTGCCCCCGCCCCAAAAAAAAAAAAAAAAAAAACAAGAACAACAGAGACATACCTTTCAAGAAATCAGAAACGTCTTGGAGCTGCGGGATGTTGTCCTCCCTGTAGCCGCAGTTCTCGATGAGCAGCGGGAACACGTTCTGGTGCTCTCTGCAGGCGTGCGTCTTGTACAGCTTGGTGAGGTTCCTGAAGACGGTGCCCCACGTGTCGATCTCCCCTGGCTGTACTCCACGGGGGATCGGCTCGGCCCGCTGGGGAGGCGACGGGGAGAACGGGTTACCGTGGGGGAATAATGTTATTATTATTTCTATTGCCATTATTAGTATGAAAATTATTGGAATAGAGTAAATTATTGCAGTAATTATGAAAATTATCATTATAATTAGGATTTTATCATTATTATTGTCATTATCATCATAATTATCATCATCATTATTATCTCTCTCTCTCTCTCTCTCTTCTCTCTCTCTCTCTTTCTTTCTCTCTCTTCTCTTTCTTTCTCTTCTCTCTCTCCCTCCTCCTTACTTACTACCTTCCTAATCCCTCCTCTCGATCTATCCCTCTTCCTCTTCTTCCTTCCAGCTGTCTTATACTTGATCAAAATTGAGTTATTTTTCCTGTTTTATTATCTTATTCTAATCTATTCTTTATTAAAACTCCTAAAATTACGTTTTTATCGAAGCTAATAAACACTTTACATAGTTATTTCAATCAGAGTGCAATAATGAATCCAAACGAGACAAAACATCACACAACCCAATGTACCCCCTTAAACTAGCAGTTACACAAACTACAGCACAATACACGTCCCACCCACAACCACCCACCCACACCCAAACACACGCCTACCCACACCTCTCCTCCCGTGTTTACAAAAAAAAAAAAAAAAAAAAAGCTACTCACTGCTTGTAATTGTAGGCGATGTCAGCGAACATCTTCCTCCTGGTGCGATAGACGGG